GCGATGCGTCCGCGTGGACAGCTGCTATACAATAATACATTTCCATTTACCTCCTTCTCTATATCCATACAAAATATCTATCAAACAAATAAAATTAAAATTTTCTTTTGAAAAATGAAACCATTCCATCAGTATTTTCTTATGACGTTGTCACGTTCAACTATCGTCAGTAAACCGACTTTACAGACAACCGATTTTTTATAATTAAAACTCTACTCTGTCTGAGAATTTTAGAAAAAAAAAGTTAATGTGAATTAATTTTTACCACTACAGATAACCTCAAATTAATAAGAAAAAAATTAAATGTGACTTCTCCTTGCCTTAGAAAATAACACTGCTACATAATCCGCAAATCTAAGCATGCTAATCTTTTTTGTTCCTGAATATCTATCCCTAAAGGTGTCCTGACTTTAAACGTAAATGCAAAGGTCCTTATTGAAAAATATGTTTCTGAAAAACGCCAAGGCTAACTGAAAGGCCCTTGAAAAATCACTATTAGCACTGCGTTTTTTAAACCATCATACTGATTTAGTTATGCATTCTTGTAACAAATCCACTTATTATAAAAATATTCAACTTCGTTTGTGTTTATATGTTACACAACATAATAAGGGAGAGAAAGAGAAAAAAGGGGAAAGAGAGAGAGTAAAGAGGAAAAGGGGGAAATTCAGTGTTCCTGCCACTGCAACTTTTTTCCATACGTTGTTCTCAGCTAATTTGTAAGACAATAGAAGCCAATTTCGTAATTGTGCTTCTCTTGCTCTAATGCCGTAATTTAGAGACAAAATAAAATGCTTGGCAGTCGTTTACAATTGTAATTAATGAATTACATTCGCAATGGCACTCAGTTTCCTTGCTATTCCTTTTTAGTCGTTTACTCTTGTAGCACCATACTCTCCTTTCTATATTTAATTATTCGGCCTAATGCGCCTCGAATGTTCGACAATGCTATTGTATTGTTAATAGCAGTCTCTACACTGCACTTTTATAATTAAATTATTTCAACTTCGATTCCCCCAAATTAATCTATAAAACATAATGAATTGGTCCTCTCAAAATTTCGTATCAAATGACTGAGAAACACTTCAGTGTACCGAAATCCTTACCTTCTATTTGGAAGACGTAATGCTATTATTATTTGCCTATCATTCTTCTTAATACATTTTAATAATCTTCTATGAGATGAATCAATATTGAAAATTAAGCAAATTTTACAATGAAAACGGACAAATGAAATTATGAACTATACAGGTAAGGATTTCACAAACATGAAATTTCTTTTATCCACTAAAGAAAGAAAGATAAACACCAAAGGAAACGTAAAATAATTTGAGTTATTGAGGTTTTTACTTACTAAGGGTTTAAGTTTAACCTTTAAAATTATGGATTTCCAGTGACTTAGCAAACTCTTCAGTTTTTTTCTTTAATATAGGTCCACTAACACTAATGTTTTTATTTCTATACGGTCTAAAATTCAGCAATTCTTCGTCTTTTACATAGAAGACTTTCTCCCGATTCAAATCACTTTTCACTGCTTACTGAGGTGCGATGCCCAAATTATTCGTTTAAGTTATGGGGGGTTTTTATTTTAAATAATATAGGTTTTGCACTCCGAGGGGAAGGGACCCAAAATTTTATGAATTTATAGAGGTTATTACGTTATCGAGGTTTAAGTTATCAAGGTTCTACTGTATAAGCAATCGATTGGTAAAATGATATTTCTATACATCTTTCCACGATTTACGTCGATATGAAAGAAGATTTTCACTCATTTTTTCTTCCCATGCTGTTCTTTTTTATTGGAATAGACTGCACTCAAAGTTGACAAAAATCGTGATTTTTTAAAAAAAATCGATAATCTTTTGAAGAAAATCGGGTGAAGTCGCGGGTCACTCCCGTTGATGTCTTAAATAATACGTACCAAAGATCAACAACAACCGCATAAAACTAATTTTTCTATCCCTCGAAAAGAGTATATATATTTTCGGGATAAGAAATACCATATGTCCTTTTCTGTGCCCCTGACAATACAAGTACCAAATTTGATGATGATCAGTTAAATAGTTAGACGTGAAATGGTAGTAAAAAAACTCACATATTAGTTAAGATTTCCTATTTTCTCGGAATTTTAACTATGTATTTATAAAAAGTTCAATAATATTCAGATAATCGTTAGGTATTTACAGTACTCTTTTTTGTATTAAAAACGTTTTAAAAGTTGGGTTATTGTAAAAAGCAATTGAATCGTTTTTTAATTATTATAAAAAACAATAAATATTACATGAAAACGTTTCTAGGTTTTAATTCTTTTATGAATAAATTCATGTTTAAGTTTCTTAGTGAAGCGACTATTTAGCATCAATTTAAAACAATAGATTTCAATTGTAGCGGTTCAGAAGCGCTGCAAAATGTAACCCGTGTGAATAGGCTCTTATATTTTTTTTCTAATTTAATGTTTAGTGTTTTTATTACTACTTCTTTATTGTAGCGTCGTTAGTACTCGGGATTACTATTTTATTGATTTTGGATCTGTCGCACGTTATACGCACGATGATTATACAGATACTTATTAAAGATAACTGACGTGAATAATAAAAAAATTGCATCAACCTCCGTTTCTGCCGGACAAAACAATCAATAAACGTTGAAAAATAATTGCTTTTTAATTGTTTACTTACTAAATATTTACGAAAATGAATATATATATACCAATTTCGTGTTTTTAAAACGGTATCATAATTAAAAATTGTTAATATTTTAATAAGCCATAATGGGATAATCAATTTCTAAACTGTGCCAAGTATTTTTCTTTAATTATTATTATTATCGCTTTTTGAAATTAAATAAATAGTACTGGAATTGTTAATGATGTGCGGCATAAACAAAGACAACTATGATACATTCCTACACGTATGCATTGTTAATTTATAATTATAATATTTTTGCAAATAAACCGATAAAACGTTTAAGTACTTTAAATTTTCTTTGACATGTAATCTACACTGGTCGATCTTTTTGTTCCGATAAAGCATTAGTCACGAATTTTCGACGAAATAATATTCGAAAAATAATTAATAATGAATTGTTTTTTAAATTATACCGAAACAATCACAAAATGCCACAGAATGCTGTTGTAAATATTAGGTGGGTAATACGTAAAAATATTTTTCATCCCGTTGCACTTGTGATAATAGAATTATTGTAAAATGTACGTAAATATTCAACAATTTAGGGACGTAGTTGAATAGGGCTCTGGAGGCCCTTGGGAAAAATATTAATCAACTGAAATTAGTAGTTCGGATATCCTCCCGAATGCTAAGCTGTGATTTAGACCGTAAAATTTTCCGTTCATATACATCCTAATATCCTTACTTGGCTAGTTTGTAAACTAGCTGGATAGTATACAAACTGTCCAAATATCTGGTTTGACAGATATGCTTAGAATTCGAAGGTTACGTAAGTGTTGTCTTTTCCTACCATAACATCATTATAACACACACGTAACCTTATCATTCTTAGCATATATCCGTTAAACAAGACATTTGGATAGATAGTTTGTGTTCTATTCAGAATCCAGCTAGCTTACAAACTAGCCAGGTAAGTATATTAACCGTAACATATATATTAAACATTATTTATAAAAACATGTAATATTGGATAAGCGTAACATTAAATAGAACCTTATAAACACAAAATATTCCTAATGACAGAATAAAAATCAGAAAAAAATTCTTTTTTAATAAAAATTTTGCATAATTTAATATCTAATTAAATGTTTAAAATACCAAAAGAGTATAAAATAATAAGAGCTAAAAACAAAAGTAACATCTCCCTGTTTCCTTAAAAACAAATGATTTCTTAATTACTCGCAACAATATGCTCACTAACCTTGAATGAAATTAAATTAAAAAGTATTTTACGACTTTTATTGCCTGCAGGTGAACAATACTGATTTAAAATCGATTACAATTAATTTAGAACTCCGCAAAAGCACACATTTCAATTGAGCACAAATTTATATTCTACAAAAGCACTTAGTCATGCGGCAAAAATCAATTAATTTACTGTTTAATCGTTATTATAGCAATTAATGTTTGAATTTCATTTTTAAAATTGTTATTTTATCTTTTCCTCTAACACGCTTATGTGCTTACCTACTTTTCTAATTAAACAAACAATTCTCATTAGAAAGTTGTAAGAATGAAAATATGGAACTGTGTATTAGATTTCACATAAACAAAAACATTACCTATGTTTCAAAAATAGGGAAAATGCCGCCAATAATGTATTTAGCGGACTTGCTCATTACTTTGTTGATAATCATCGTCTGATATTATCTGTGAAAATTTCGTAACTATTTAGAAGATGATTTAGATTTAGATAATAAAGTGCCTTTTTAAAAACAATATTGAAGTAAAAAAGAAGGTTAGGAACTATGTATTTCTTTGCAAAAAATAGAAGAAATTTTGTATCCGATGCGGTTAAAATTAATCGTTGTTGGTCCAAAAAATTTACATTTGGTGATTTTTAGGAATATCTTCCAAAAAACTTGTTGTTTAGGACACTGTGTTTCTGACACAAACGCCTGTTTACAATACATTTATAATTTCCCATTGCTTAAGCCACAAAATAACGTAGTTGATTGTAAAATTTTCATTTTTCCTTGTATTTTTGTTGTTTACAAATTTATGCTGTAGATGTAGGTATATGTTGGACGTAACGTACGAACACGGCCGTATATTCATGGACGTAGCGAGAGATTTTTCCTAGAGGGGGACAGATTTTTCAGTAGGTGTAAGTTTATACAGGTTTAATGAGTTTGATTTCTATGTTTTTAAACTTTGTAACGATATCGTAACTGGACAGAGCCTTTTCCAGGGAGTTCAATGAGCTTGCTAGGGAGGCAGTGTCCCCTTTGCCTCTATCTATCTACGCCTATGCATATATTTCTAATATTCTTAATTATTGTAAATAGTAATTAATATTTTTTAACTCATTACCTGCACTCTGGCCTCGCTTAAATCCAGTCTCATAGCTAATTCCTCTCTTGTGAAAACATCAGGATACTGAGTTTTCTCGAACGCCCTTTCAAGTTGGTGCAACTGGTAAGTGGTGAACGTTGTCCGAGACCTTCTTATTTTCCGCGGCCTCGACTCTGCCATATCTTCCATCCCCTCGCCTTCAACAATTTCACCCTCGCTGACGCATTCATTTTTATTTTCGAGCTCTAAAACAATACAATACAAAAAAAGGATAAAAATAAGCATTTCGAGATTTTTTCCGAACTTTTCAAACAGGAAACTACAGTATATGTATTATTAGACTTTATACCAGGCAAGAGTAAGGAAAATCAACTTTGAGGAAGTGTTCGCATTTCAAAAGGTTTAAGTAATTAACTAATATCGTAATTAAAACGGTTTTTTTTAAGTATCAGTGTAGGTAATAGAAAAAAGAAGCTTTAAAACATGGTTAAACACATGTACCTAACATATGAGTAGGTATATCGTTTGGTTTAATAAAAAATTGTAAAAAAAGTAAACAACGAATATTCCAATTGTCCCTTTTGTAGTAAAGGTATAAGAAAAGGAGATTCTATGGTTCATGACACCCAAAAAAAAAAAAACAGTTACACTACTTTAATTACTTATAAATGAATTAAAAGAGTTCCTTCCCAATAACTTTTTGACTATACAAGTATTTTTAATTAAAACTTTTTACATTACTGTGATTAGCTCTGCCTGATATATGGGAAGTTAACAGACCATAGTAATTTTATCTCCATTTTCATAGCAACAACTTTATTTCAGTTAGAAGAAATACATTTAATACAAACAATAATTTATCGATACTACTAAACGTGCATCGCGATTTGGATCTTACTATATCTCATCGGCACGCCGTAGGCAACCACATGGGATCTCTTTAAAAGCAAATATACTTATAAATTAGTGAAAAATAATTAAATATTTCCGTATATTTGATACAATAAACGTACCTATTATTTTTATATCAAAACATCCAATATTTTTTTAGCACCTTCTGCCTCTCGGTACACATTTAAAGAAGGCTTAAAACTTCGCATTAGAGAATTCAATCGTATTCTATTAAAAATCATCTACCGCTGACTTTACTGAAAGTGAGATAACTCTCCGTCTGAAGTTTTCTTATGGGATACCTGGAGAAATGGATCAGTCCCCTTCAAAACGGAGCGTTTGGTCACATTAACTGTGACATTTTTCGTTAGATAGATAGGTTAGATACAGAAATTATTAATGATTAATTCTTTTTTAGTCCCTTTTTTCTGTTTGTTCTCCTTTTATTAACCGCGTGATTAAGTAAAAACGCCTTTCAATTTTTAGACGGAACGTATACAATTACCATGATTTGAAAAGGGTTGTCCGAACATTTTATATAAAAGTTTACATATAAACGCGCTATTATGGATGACCCGAACGTACGAACTGCATAGACAACTCGTTCAGAATTAGCCGTCCACTTTGTCCACCCCGGAGATAACTATCTCAGCTCGTGAATTTGCTATTCATAAGTTTTGTATGTAGCACGTGTGTGCGGCAAAGGCTAATGCGCGCTTTTCCTGATATATTCATGGAAATTTCAATGAAAATTTGTTGACGTATTTCAAAGCAACTCAATTAACTATTAATTCGGTTTGCATTGCATTCACTTGGTCATTATTTATTAAAGGGCGTGAATGACAGTTTTGCCATTCTCCCTCGCCCCGCATAATGCGATCAAAAATCATTGTGTTTGAACGCATTATTTAATAATAATTATTAATAGGTTTTCTTCAAATAGGTCAATTAATTCTGATTGGAAATTAAATTGGAAGGTTTAACTGACCCTACAAATAAATCTTTTATAGTAATTGGGTAATCAACTGTATGAGATGGGTATAAAAATTACATAAGCATTAATAAACCTTATCAATCAAAAAACTAATATTGGGAACAGATAATTTAAATTTATTGGTTTTGCACAGGTATGTATACAATAGAAAAGAGACAAAAATTCGCGTCTGATATTTTATAAATAGATGAGTGTAAACTATATGTGTATTATGATTTAATTATATATAATTTATAGATTTAATAATATTAATAAGAGGTAATAATAATTTTTGTTTAATATAATTGGAGAAAGCATTTACTTAATGAATGTTTACTAATACTATTATTAAATAAGTTAATTACTAATTGAAGGGTGAGTGAAGACGGTCAACCGTTTCACCACCCTGACTTACTTCGGACTCGTTTCTAATGATTCTTAAATTTAATTCCGAATCTGATTCTGAATCTAAATACCTTAATATAATATTAATACAGATATTTAAACTATTGCTAATTGGCGTCCTTAAACAAATTATAAGTGATAACTTTAATTTTTAACAAATAATTTTGATATATCTAATACTAACGTTGTAAGTACTAGTGGTTTAAACAGGAACTTACGGATACTGTATACCATAGTACATTTGTCAAAACTAAACTATATAATACTTTTTTAAGCTATTACCATACTTAAAGGTCTTCAAATAAAATTTGATTAAAATATTTTGTTACGCTTTGTGGGAACAACTAAAAATTAATGCATGTGATTGATTTTCTGGTGAACTAAAGATATTTATTTATATATAGGAGTAAAGAAAGGAAATTGAACGATTTAAATATTACAAAAATTGATCTATAAGAATGTCCTGCTTTTTTTTATTTATGTGTATATCGAAAGTACTTGCCAAAGTTTAATGTAGACAAATAAATAATCAATAAATTTCTCTACAAAAAAAATGCCACTAATTTTGATTAGATAATTACTATCAGATACCAAAAAAAAAGAAAATTTGCTTATTTTGTATGGATTGTTAGCATGAGTTGTTTTATGCTTGAAATATAATAACAACCCTTAAACCTTTTACAGTCTGTTTAGGGCAGGTATTCTACCTGTATACACTCATGCGTACAGACATACTATACACGAATATTAAGTATTGTATAAATGTATTTCACATACACGTCATGTTTATTAGAGGGGTTCAGCAATTAAACACGATGCGATCATTATATTACTTAAATGCTAAGCGGATTAAATACGTTCGGATTTTGCACGGTTACCTAGCCTACTAGGATGAATAAGGCATGTACATACATAGGTATACTCCACGCAATGAATGTAGGTACCTCGCTAATCTCTACTTATTTTTCTATTCATCCAAACCGGTAGAAAATAGATCAATAAAAATACGATGTGATTTTAACCGTTGAATTCAGTTTGGCTGTGTTGCTGTATTCATTTTTTTTTTCAGTCGCCATTATTTAGGCATTAAAATGTTACAATGAAAGCTCTTAACTCTTATATGGGACCAGTTTATAGTAACTCATATATCCTAACCTAACCCCAACTATGCAGGATGATACGCCTTTCAAACAGGTTAATTTTAAGATATATTTATCAAAACATAGATGGTTGAATAATTAAACACCAAAAATTCTACAAAAAATAGGTTATGAAAGAAAAATGTTAATTATAACCGCGATGTGATCTTATTTTGTCTGCTAATTAAATTATTGTAGTCAAGTAACTTCACATCAGTAACTTAATTTTAAGAGCAAGTCACTCAGGAATTTTTGTTGGAATAGGTGATCACTAAAAATTAATTAACATTGACTGTATTACAGAAATTACAATATTCCCGACATTAAACATTTTTTTACAAACCATATAATAAATTAAATGATTGAATGGCGGACCAATCAAAATTATTTTTGCTACTCTAATTTTATTAATTCGACGTGAAACCATTTATTCTTTAGAAAATTAAAGTAGGAAGATATTTTGTGGGATACGCAGATAAAATTAACCAAGATCATTAGAATTAATACCAATAAAGTCATTTCAGTTATGCATAACTGACAAATTTACACCATCATGGGTAAAAAGGAAGCGCAAGTTCTAACTCATTACTATGCTAGAATTTAACAAAATAATTCGAAGTGGTCTGTATTTTGTCGAAACTGTCAGACGCGGATCGCGATTTCGATCTTTTTGGATCTCATTAGCTCGTCGCAGGCAGCTCCGACAGAACAAAAACAGCACTTTGTACGTGTGCAGATAATAATGAGAGCATTGATTTGAAACTTCGACCACATTTGTATACATCAATATGTAATTGTTTAAAATTCAAACAAATCTCATTTATTTAGGAAACGATTGATATAGGACTTATGCCAACGCCAACAAATCGCCTTTTGGTGTAATGTCTTAAGTACCTTGTAGGTTCTTTCAGTCAATAATTAATTTTTCTCAGTTCGTGAAAATATACCTAACATAGTGTAATAATGTGATTCGATTAATTCGTACAGCACAATTGTATAGATAAAATAAAAAATTATATAAATAGTTAAAACAGACAAACTGTAGAGAATACTCTATATAGTTTTTAATTTATTATTTTATTTATACAATTATACTGTCTGTACAAATTGATATTTGTACATACCTTATGAATTATACTATGTAGCATTTTTCAATTTCTTTTTAATGTATGAAAATGGGCACGCTATCGATTTTTTTTAAGCGTCTACCTGAGTACAAATCGAATAAATTTGCCATTTATCCTTGAGGTTTACATCATCCTTACGGTCGAATTTGCCAAGACAAAATAACATTAAATCCTACATTTCGTTTGTTTTTTTACTTACAGTCTTCTGTCAAAGTTCTTAATTAGTTAATTGATTAATTAGCTGGAAGCAGTAAGAAATGAAGGAGTTTATAGTCGCGCTTCTTCAGATGCATTTACTTAATTAACTAGTCCTGTACGTATGTATAGGTACAAGCAGGATTCATCGCCTCCAAGTGTATTTACGCTATAATTTAAATCTGTATCTGTGCAAAGTTCACATGTGCCTACAGGTTTCTACATTATAATAATAATCGTAGTGTGGCTGATGATTCACAGGGTATAAAGCATGCTTATCGTCCTCTTAATGTACGAAATCACCAGGACTACGCGTAAACTTATTGGAATAACTTCGGGGGTGGTTCATGAGATGGGACTTAATATCGTCGAACGAATGGTCATTTCATATTATTAAAGTTATCTGTAAGATTCCCGGTTAATCCTTTAGTAGGTTAGATGCTTAAATGTGAAGAACAATTCGCTTCCCTTAGCCTTACGTTCATTCATTACACTTTCAAATTCTTCCCGAAAGAATGAAGAACGGTTAAAATTAAAAGGTCATAAACGTATCTTTAGGGAGGAACGCTTTTACCTTCTTTCCGCAGACTCTTTGTAATCCTAGATGTTTCATCAACTATTATTCGTTAACGAAAATAAGAGCCTTTTTGTCGCAAAAAAACCCTAAAGGATTTCTATCGTTAAAAAGTTGTCTTGTACGGTATATTTACAGAGGAATGATGAGGATACCGTGGATGGAGAAGGTTAGAAATTGGGAGATATTAGATAGATAGAATAGGAGAACAGAGGTCATTATGGAAGTCAATAAGGAATAGGTGACATAAGTTGGTAGGACACTTATTCAGGCATGAAGGGATAGTTGGAGACATTTTAGAAACAGAAACAGAAGTTAAGAGGAGTAGAGGTAGACCTATAGATTAGATTACTATTCGCAAATAGTTGAGGATGCGGGATGTTCTAATTTTAGAGAAATGCGAAGATTCGCTCAGTACAGGAAAGAGTAAAGGTGCGTGTCCAACCAGTCTGACGACCCTATGAAGATGATGACAGTATATTTAAATTGAATATACACATTGTTTCAATTAATTTTTACGTAACACTTTCTTTTATTCTCTTTTCTCACTTTTGAGCTACTTTAAAACAATATATGTATATCATTTCGTCAACTATTTTTCATTTCGTATATGCATTTAAATTAAAATGAAACTCCATTATAACGCATTTGAGGAGATCTTAAAAATCCGTACCTTATATCAAAAGTTCCGGTAAAAGGAAATTAGACACATTATACTTTTTTTGTGGTACGTTATAGCCGTAAGTCCGTAATAAGCGTGTACGTTGTAAGCGAGTTTTACTGTATTATTAGGTACAATATATTGCTTTCACTATATTTAACTATACATAAAAGCTAAACCGATAATATTTTTACAAAACCAAAAAAGTTTTCAAAAGTTAATGTAACTTAGATACATAAAATATTTATGATTTACTATTCTACTCCTCTAATTAAAACAATTTGTAACGCCCATGAATACGCTGATAAAGGCTCATTTTAAACATTCTAATTAATAATTAGTAGATAAAATTTGTTGTGAAATGCTCTGAAACAACATTAATTTCCAATTGTTTAGGTATAAAACCAAGCATTTTCGAAAAAATTGGTAATATATAATAATAATATAACTTATAAACTCTAGAAAATAATTAGATAGAGGGCTAATAAATGTCTTCCCTCTTTTTTATATAGGTATTCACACCAAGATGTTCAGGATTTTTGATCCCTTGATTATTAAAATTAAATTTAGCGAAGAATTTCTCAACAGTGAAAAGTTAATTAAAAACGATTCTATTGTGTTATTACATTTTAAAAAGAAATTTTTTATATGCGAAAAATCTACTTTAAATACGTAATATCTATCACGAAATTCGTCTTTTCTGATAAGTACATAAATAATTACCTATTCCGTTTCAGTATTTTATAATTTTCACCATTAATTATAATGGCCCCTTATGTAACTGTACTAGTTTATTTATCAGATTTTTGTATGTTTTAAAAACCATTGAAAAATTTTTGTAGACTGCTTTATATACGATAGCATAAAAGCTCATGCCAGGCGCCTTCGCCAAATTTTCACATATATTAAACATAATAGTAAAATTTAAATATTTATATTTACATACCAACGTATGAATTCAATGAAGGATGAAATAATTAGTCTGTTTATAATTATTCTGATCAATAAATTGGGTAAATACTTAATGTAGATTCTTGTCTTGGTAAAAAACCAACCCCTTAGTTGTTTTTACTATACTTTTAACGAAAAGACTAAAACTTTCTTCAATGTGTATATATGAAAATCAGTTCCTAACTTCATACTTAACCATGCCGCTCATTAAATAAAAAACAAAAGCATAACATGTGCAACAATTTATGAAAGCACATCATGTACCTAATATGCAAATGAAAACTAACAACGGTCTCAATTTTCATTTTAGTTACGGTACATACTTAAATAAATAATAGTTCAACTTACCTTCAGCGCTTGATCTTCGCTGGGAACTTTGAACCCCCAGGATCTGATCTATACTGTACACTCTTGGTCTTACTTCTTCGGTAGTTATTCTTTCTTGGGCCATCACTTTAAAGTACACGAAAATTAAATAAAGCTCAGCAGGATATCAAGCAGACGTCCTTTTCCCAAAGATGAATACAAAAAAGCAACACTTGGCTAAGAACTAAATGTTTTTGTATAATACAAAAAGAAAAAGAACTTTTGTCATTCAATGATCAGGTTGAACTTTTTAACTAAGACTCGACGGTCTCTAATGAGGAACTAAAGCACAACAACCACTTGCAAGGATTTTACAAGGGTTTGATGATTTACCCTCCTCCGAGTATCTACCAATCATAGGGCAACGCACACGAGTTGCGAAGGGCGCATGCGTATTGGACGAAAAACCACGCCGACTTGATTATTACCTCATTAATAATGTATTTAATTTCGATAATGTTGGTCGAAAATATATCGTGTAAGTTATTATTTAACACCTCTAATATGGTTAGAGAGATAATTACCTGAGAATCGAGCAGCTGCAGCAAATATTATTTTACTTTACTATTCATTAACTATGCGTGTTTTTTAATATAGCTTATCAACGAACGCTTGCATGTTTGATTTCAAATAAATTACGAGCTGTAAAAATAAATTAGCAACAATATTGTGAGCCCTATATCCTCGATATTAATATATAGAAATTGTACAGGTATTTGTACTGGGTGCATGCTAAAATTTTCCGATACATTTTTCTCAACACAGAAATGAGAAAATACAGCAAAATAATAAGAAACTTAATAGCAAATTATTTACGTAATCATAAAGATCGAAACCAGAATAAAAAGTGGTTTCTAGTAAGTATAAGCAATAGTAGCCGTTTTAATGTTCCATTCGCAAATCTCATCATATTCTTCATTTGGGCGTATAGAGAAGTCTATATATTTATACTTGAGTATATTTGTTTTAATAATAATTAATCCTTTCAATTTGTAATTGTATACTTAAATATATATACCTATACGTAATAACCATTGACGAAATCACGAATACCTACGTCTATTAAACTACGTTTGGTTTTGGTTAATGACTTAAACCAAAAATAAATTAATGAATTCTAAAGTAGATAAATAGATAGCTTTATTAAAAACATTGTATTTTATATAGATATACAAGGTGTATTTATATATACCTATACTATACCTACATATGACTTTTACAAACTAAACATTTTTATTCTTCTGGCTTTTCTGCTATTTTCCTCCTCCATAATATTTTTTTCGTTCTTTTTAGACCATCCTTTCCTTCCATTTCAATTTCTCAATTTTTTTTCTACCATTTCCTTATTATTCCACATTTCTCAAAAATGTGTTCGAGCTTCCCAGGTTCCAATTTACACAACCTGCACATTTTCTTCTTTTCTTCTTCCCAGTACCTCCTCGTCCTATTCTCACTTCCTAGTGTAAAACTTGCTGTGAAAACTAATTCGTTTTTACTCTTTGTTGTTTCGTCTTTCAAATAATTTGGTTTTCCTCCCTTTCTTTCCATTTTTTCTTGTATTGGTGTGCAAACCTTTTATCCTTTTTTTCTTCTTTTCTGTTTATTAATGTCCTCACTTAAACATTCCAGCTCTATCCACTACTACACTTCTGTCTTTTTTCAGTTTCCATCTGCACTGCAGGGACGCCCATTCTTTTTCCATTAAAAAAAAATTTCTTTTGTTTTTCCCTTTTTCCCTTGTGATTTTCTCTCCTTCGGTTTGAATATTCGGTATATTATCTTTATAGTTTATACATTATTTTAATAACAAGTGTCTTCTGAATAATTTAACACTTTTTCTTCGTAAGTACTTAAAAGCTCTTTTCAAGTATTTTATGGGTCAATTTTTCTGTTTTTTGTTTCTTTATGTAATAAGTATTTCGATGTGTTTCTGTCTAATTTTAAAATCTATCTTATGTATCTGTCCTGAATACTTTCAATTTCTTTTCTTGAGATTTTATTCTTCTATGCCTCATATACCTATCCCAATTACCCCTTTTGCTTTCTTCCTCATTTTTTTACGTGTCCATCTACGTCATTATTTTTTTTACCCTAGGTAATTATTTTTAAATTAAATATATTAAGAGTTTTAATTTCTGTTCTAAAATATAAAATTCAAGCGCATTTAAATATATCAAAAAATATATCTTCTTTTATGTAGGTACCTATTTTAAATGTTTTAATCATGTTAGAAATCACACTTGATCTAGATGTGCTATCAAAACATCAACATCATAAAATAAAATGCAAAAACTTCAAAATACAAGAACATGTAAATTATTTTGATATTTCTGTTTCTATTCACGTTATAAAATGTTTTATATATATCAACGAATTAAATAAACGCGATAACTGTTTTTGCTGTGTACTATTAACCTTTCTAATTGGTAGATATGCCATTATTTTTCATTATTTCTGTAATTATTAATTAATTAAACATAAAGTATGCCAGATAATTAATGTGATAATGGAAAGACCCGAAACCATTTTTTTTGTATTGAATTTTAATACATACGTTTGTATACCCTATCTACCGTTTAATTATGGTTTATTTATAACTGTATACAACGCTTTTATATAACACGTCTACCGGAATCTTCATTCAAATTTGTTTTTTATTTTATAATTTATCTGTTAAACTGAAAATTGTATCGAATTTGTAATATATCAAACATGTTTCGTTATAATTTATACACTTTAATAAGAGGTAAT